GACGCGGATACGCAGCTCACTGTGCATCTGCTGGTCAGTCGACATCAAAATCCCAAGGTAGCAGAAGCGGGAGGTGGTTTCCAATACTTTATCACTAATGCTGATTGGTTGCAAGCTTACAGATTTCACCTCCGGTGAAGGCTGAAAGAGACAGAAACTTTTGCTTGTGTTGTAGGTGAACCCGAGTCTGGCAGTTGTCGAAGCCAGTGCACTAGTAATGTGCTGCAACTCATCCGCGCTGTGTGCAAACAACGCACAGTCGTCAGCAAACAGCAACATACGGATAGTTGTCTCACAGACTAGGGTTCTCGCACCGAAACGACGGATGTTCAGCAACCCACCATCAATACAGTGTTCCACACGAACACCGTAAGCACAAGCGGCATCAAAAGCACAGGACGTCATGGCGTGAAGATAGATGTTAAACAAGGCAGGAACTAACACACAGACTTGCTTCACACCAGAGATAACTGCAAAGTCATCCGAGGTCTGTCCACACAGCTGCAACCTCGCCCGCATACCAATGTGCGGACATACAATTAAATTTACAAATTTACTCTGACAACCAAACTTACCCAACACCAGCCACAATGTCTCGCGCTTCACCGTATCAAATGCCTTGGTGAAATCAACAAAAAGCGAATAAAATGGATGGTATCATTCTCTACACTTCTCCCGCAACTGACGAGCCGCAAACACCATTTCGATGGTGCTACGACACGAACGGAATCTATGTTGCTCTTCCGACAAGTTTGGTTCCACAATCTGACTGACGAGGCGGTTGAGCAGGATTCGGAAAATCACCTTGCCCACACAACTCAGCAAGTAGATTCCACGATAATTCGTGAAACATTGCTTGCTGCCTTTGTCCTTGTACAGTGGTAGCATAAGGGCATCCTTCAGCTCAGGAGGCACCTCCTCCTCAATCCACACGCGTTGCACCAAGTGGTGCAGCGCAGTCACCGACGCAGGTCCGTCGTGTTTCAATACTTCAAGCAAGATCCCGTCAGCACCGGCACACCTACCGCTTCGCAGCTGAGCAAGTACTCTCAGCGTCTCATTCACAGTCGGTAAATCGACAGGATACGTCTTTATTTCTTGTTACTGCAGCCCGTGCAACACAGTCCAGTCGATCCCTGAACGCTTATTCAAGTGACAGTCAAAGTGTTTTCGCCAGAACTGCAGTATATAATCAACCTGCGTGCAGGCAGCGCCTGAAGTAGCATCGAACAGCATCCTCAGTGACTTCAACCTCGGTCCATACACCGCCTTCAAGGAGTCAAAGAATTCCTTGTGTTGGCGGCTTTCGGCGTAGCATTCCATCTGCTTTGCCTTCTCCGTCCACTGTGCATTTTTATGCGACGGAGCTCTCGGGTCAGTCGACGTCGAAGTTTGCGAAACTGACTCTTCTTCCCCAAGTCACTGGGGTCTGCCACATGTGCAGCAAATGCTGCATTCTTCTCCGATACCAATGCGCCAATCGTCGCATTGTTGTCATCAAAATAAACAGGCCGCTAACAGTTCGCGCGCCCGATGGTCTCCTCTGCAACAGCTATCACCTGGCCACGAATGTGGTTTCGTAGATCGCCCACTGTGGCTATGCATTCCACATCACACAGGTGTACAGCCATCGCCTCCAGCTCAATACGTTTCTCCATATTACCGAGGAAGAGAAGATTAAATTTACGCCGATTCACGGCGGGAGTGCAGTACATTGATTTACGAAAATATATGTACAGTTTGGTCTGCATCAATTTGTGATCAGTGCCGCTCTCAGCTCCACGCAGTACACGTGTAATGCGCACTTCACGCATGTCATGCTGACGTACGATGACATAGTCGAACAGGTGAGCGTGACCACTCCGTGGGTGCGTCCAAGTTGCCAGATCACTCGCACTCAGCGCAAACCGAGTGTTCGTGATCGTCAGACAAGTGTGACACAGAGTGAGAGCTGCTTGTCACCGTTCGCAGTCGCAGAACCAATGTCATGCGGACCGATGACACCTGTCCACACCGATACATCACGCCCAAACTGCGCGTTGAAATGACCCAGCAGAAACAGTCGGTCGCTCCTCCTCACAGACCGTATCACGAAGTATAACTGAATCTAGAACTGACCACGCGTATCATCAAGGTAACACATGCTCGGACTGTACGTGCTTATAAAAGTGGCAAACTTACCTCTTCCAAGTCGTAGGCGAACGGTCATCAGTCGCGCGATGATGCCAGTGGGCTCGACCACCAGCTAACCATTTAGACGATCGGATAGTGCAAATCCGACCCCATGTTCACGTAGTGCTGAGGTGGCGTTTCCCACCCAGTAGAACTTATCGCCCGCACCGGCTTATTTTAACTTACCTTACTCAGCGCGACTCGGCTCGCTGAGCTCCACAATATTGATGTTGTAGCGCGCCAGTTCCATCGCTTCCAGTGCAGTGCGTCGCTCGGGAGCGTTGGCTCGAGTTGCGATCTAGTGGTGTGCGCAGGTTCCATCACCCGATGTTGAGCGCTTTGTACGCAGGCATACGATTGCATTGGTGGGCGATTGCACGCGTGGTGATGGTTGTGCTTCAGAGGTTTGCTTGTGGGACTCTGCGCGGAGCCTTTGACTCAATAGCCTGAACCACAAGGAAGATCCAGCTCGGAAATATGATTGCAGAGACCCATTGGGATCTGCTTGAGGTCCGTCACACACAGCCTTTGGAGCTATGGAACAATTCATTTGTGTTTTGAGACCGTAGTAGGATATGCATTTGCGACCACGGCCACTCGCAGAAGGATTGTGGCGGTTTTGCACCAATTTGACCATGGGCTGTCTGGATTGAGGCGGGCAATAGCAAACCATTGAGCACCTGGAGGTGCCCTCCCAGCATCGGAGACAATGCGTAGTGTTCGTGCTCTACACCAATCGACCGGTGAGTTTACAACCCATGGATCTGTTGTCTCCTATGGCTAGTTTTTACAGGAAGAGGGCCATCGACCGCTTCCTAAGCTCCGAAGAAGTTGAGGTTTGGACTAGGATACTGAAAAGGCGCCCACACCTGACGAGAGAACGACTCGGGTCCTCAGCCAAAGCCTTCAATTAAATGTACACCGAAAGGCAGCAGGTCTAGTACATGGTCAGTTCACAGACTCAAGCCGATTGGTGTGTCCTGGCTCTTAGCTAGAAGTAGGGCACAACCCAACTTGCACCCAGCGGTCGCCACGAGCATGCGTCCAGGACATGAGCCCACGGTACAACAGTAGCAGTAGTGGGTAGACCATGTGTCAGTATCTAGCCACCACAGGCCACAGCGCACCATAGGCTCTCCCGCCCAGCTTCGATACTAGCTTACTACTTACTAACATGCCCAAGGGTGACGCACTGGGGGTAGCACAGCTTTGGCTGACCGAAGACAGTAGCCTGGAGGAAAGAAAGAAAATCACAGTGGACCAAATAATCGGAGGAATGAAAGTATGCCTTAATATATCATATTTTAAGGACTATTCCCACTGTGAATGAACCACCTGAGGTGACGTCACGTACTGTAACTGCAATGACACCTTGGCTCAAGTCTAGGGTAACGCGGTTATCATCCCTGTTGGCTATAAAATGCCACTCCAATTGCACACTGAATCATCTGGTTTGACGAAGCTCTTGTGTCAAGAGCGAAACGGTACCAATCGACTATACCAACCGATCGTTTCCAAACCTCTCTGAACTCATGACTTCTCGATCGATTCCAAGTATCTTCCAATAGTATGAATAAAGTTTAGTCTGAATATCAACTTTAACGTTCGTAAACTGTAAATTCTGTTTCGATGTCTCAACATTAAGCTTTAGCGTTGGCATAGGGTACGCACCAGACAGGTGCAAAATGCCAACTCAATAGAAGATATCCGAGTACTGTTGCCCAAAATAGTCGGCATTGAATGATTCACCAGATGGCGACGATTATCGGTTGAATCAGTCAAACATGCCTACCTGAACTTTGGACCGAACAACTCGAAGAATATTACAAACTGCCTATTTAGTCGGAGAGCTCATTTGTGTGACCCAAACCCACCTGGAACGTTGATTAAACAAATCTCACATCCACTGAAAGCAGACACGTACTGGTACTACCAAAGTTGTACGAGGTAACTTGGTTGGACGACTCTTACCCATCGTTGTTGACAACAGCAGCACCCCTCTAGAGGTGGACGTAGCTACCGTGTTCGGTACTGTCTTGCACAAGCCGCAATCAACCATTCTGCTGAGGCCATTAGGATGTCATTTAAAATCCCTAACCCTTTAGCCACCGAGTTACGACGCGCATCGCTTGTCATAACGGTTGAGGAGTGATTACTTCGAAAGGACATACCAATCAGTCATGAACATTTGTGACAGGCGTTGCCTGTCCTGACTCGGTGGCCGAAGGTGTGAAGGTTTCAGATAACATACCAATGGCCCCGCGTTTGATGGCTGCTCTTTCTCTACCTGATGAGAACAAGTAAGTTCTAAAGCGCTTGGGGGTTCAGTGTGTTCGGGCAGGCAACACCCAATTTACGTCTGCTTCATCAGTCACAGTTCTGATGATCGAATTGACCATCGTTCAGTCAATTCGATTCGTAGTCAACAGTGAGGTTGCATTTCGCGATCCATTCATACAATGAATACTTCAACATCGTCCACCAATAAGTAGAGAGTTGCTCGCTGACAACTGCCAGTACTGTTAGATTTCATCGTATCGTATTTTGCGTAGTAACCGCTCTCCGAATATTGCACACCGAAATTCTTTAAAACTATCAGCCATCCGAAGATTGTCCATTAGATATGCTTCGGACAAGCACATAGCTATGAGAGATTTTGCACTACAAAAACTTCACCTCACGAAAGTCTTAACTAGTCTGTGCAGTGTCAATTCGGATAGCTGACAACTTTCACATTTGCCTAAATTATAGGCCTTGGATTCTCATCCACGAGCCAGCCAGTTACGGTTCTGACAATTCACCTTCTTCTTCTTTCACTCATTGCTCAGGTTCATCACCATCTTGCTGTGGAAGTCAGAAGCTCACGTTCGCGCTGTCATTGACGCTTACGAAAAGCACAGCAATAAAGACTTTGAAGACGTGCTGAAGTCGGAACTGAGCGGCGACCTGCTCCGATCATTTTTGGCCGTCGGTGAGTACTAGAAGTGGCCTTTATATTGCTTTCAAGTGTTTATACAAATTCTGCCATAGTTATCAAGACAGTAAAATGAGCGCTTTGTGAAATTACACTCAACCCTACAGGTAGTCCATCGCCGTCTCAACTAGACTGGACCTTAACAGGGTACTACGGTTTGCGTGACCCGTTCAACCAATTAAGCTATACTGGGCGGTGTCCCGGACCCCCTTCCACGTTGGTCAATGGTTAGAGGTCAAACAAACTCAGTCTCATGGTTCTCCAGGTTAGGGGTTGGAAATGGTATGGCGTCAATTTTTGAAAAACCAAATCATTGCCACTTCCTCGCTGTCTTGCGGACAGGATTCTGAGCCAAAGGCTTCGGTTGAGGCCCCTTATCGTCCTCCGTTCTAGGTCTGGGCGCCCTGGCAGTATCTCATTCCACACAGAACCATAACAATTTCCACAAACTTCAACCGCATCCTACATCGGCCGTCGCGCAGATTATCAGGGGTCGCCTTATATTCTGCATGCAGCTGGGCAGATAAGCGAAAACATGCTATTGCTGGCGTCTTCTTTCCTTTTCAGCCGTTTCACTTACTCCACTCCCAATCTCTATTACTAGCCTTCCTCCTCTAATTCCGAGGTTAATTGACAGCAACCGTACTGCCACTGGAGTCGAATCATCTGCAGCTACCTTCCCGCACCACTCACTGGACGCCTATCGGGAACAGTCCCTTATAAGGCCACGCTGTCCCGTTGGCGGCATTCGACGTTCGCACTCAGACAAATATGTCAACAAGCCAACCTCGCACGCATGTTGGACACACTGGATATTCACGTATGCTGCGTATCCGAAAATAGGATCAATGACTCTCACGGAGTTGTTGAATTAACTGCGCCCTGCTTATCCTCTCGCTATTTGGTTGTACGCATCCAGAGAGGCATATCCGGCAATCACTGGTCAAGCTGGGGTGGGCATCGTTTTCAGCTCCAAGGCTGAGTCATCGTTGGTTGACTGGATTCCCGTAAGCAGCCGCCTGCATGCAGCCCGCTTGACGTCCACCACTAAACTTGATTCACAAAGTAGTACGAGACGCTGTTTGTTTTTCATTTCCGCTTTCGCCTACTGCAGTTCTGATGCTGCCAAGGACATTTACATCGAACTGAACACAATCATCATCATCATCATACACGTTAGCTAGAGGTGGGAAACACCTCAGCTACTGTGCAGCAATACATAGAAAAAAACAGAAAAAAATGCAACTGGTGCAAGCCGGCTGGGCTACCGGTAACGGATGGGCATCTTTCCGGTAAGCTACCAGCCGGCTACTGTGCATCAAAAAATTATATAAGGCTAAATAGTGAGATCGTGTTTGCAGGGGGAGGCTAAGAGGGATGGGGTGGGACGAAGAAACTCACAGTACGAAACCGCTGAGATCGGCTCCTAGCCATATCAGCAAGTGTATCCAGCCAAACGTGTTCATCATCTTTTGGACCCCAACCAGGGAGCCGAAACGCTCCAACCGAGGCCAGCTTCGAAGTGAGGGCCTTCATTCCTCTCGACCAAGTCATCGCTTGGCCACCCCTCCTCTTCTTCCATCCACACCCTCTGCGCGCAAACAACGCACGTCGTGGAAGTCGGTGGGCTGGCATGCGTAACACGTGGCCGAGCCATCGGAGCCTGGTGCGTGAAATAACGGTGCTGAGCGGTTCATCTCCTTTTCCTGTGCCGTAAACAAGGCGTCGAACACGCTCGTTGCTCACGCGGTGTTCCACTGAACACAATACTTCGCATTGTTACCGGTTCAGATATCATCATTGTTGCAGGGGATATATAAGCGCAAGTTGGTCGCCTGTGCTCTTCAGAAGCTCAGCTAGGTGGTAAGTATGGACTTAACTCCGCACAGACGGACGACGGCGGTAGTCTGTTGCAACCGTGCACGGAGAACCAGCTGTTTCTTAGTAGCATCGCATTTGGACACAGTGGGTGTCGAAGTGTCACTTGGCGTCCACACATAGTTGGCCAGCGATAGACCCAAATAGATCCCGTGGCCATAAGTTATGGGTGGCGTGGTTCCATACTGGATTGTCGCTCGTCTAAGTACTTGCGTCGACTCTGATTATGCCTTGGTACGCTTTCGTTTTTCCATGAACTTTACGAGGAGGCGCGCCAAGCCTCTCCCTCGATTGGCAACTGTGAAATTATCCCACCCCTCGGTCAGGCAAGCCTACCTGGATGCCCTGCGTACCAAACTTTCGGTGTCTTGTCCTGATGACACAGAGCTTCAGTGGAACAGGATCTCGGCCACCATGCACGACGCAGGAGCATCTGCTTGTGGCACTATCAATCGTCACCGCACCAGTCACTGCATATCCGAGAGGTCGGTGAACCTGTTGGAATCCAGAAGAAACCTCCCGGCTGACTCTGAGCCCAATGTGACCAGATGGACTATTAGGCACGAACTAAGGCGGGGCCCACGTGCTGACAAGGAAGGCTGGTGGACCAGTTTGGCTCAAGAAATGGAGGAGGCAAGAGCAGCAGGCATTTACCGCAAGCTCTTCCAGCTGATCCGCACCACTGGTCCAAGAAACCAGGCGTCAGTGAGACAATCAGAGACAGCGCAGGTACCACGATTCACAATAAGGAACGTCGTATGGATCGTTTGGCGGAACACTTTCAAGGTCAGTTCAGTGGGCCCCTGCGCCCCCGGACCTCTTCCTACTCAGGTGATGCAGGATGAGCCATGGACGTTTAGCTTGGTGCCTCCATCGGAGGCTGAGGTCCGAAACGCGATCACAGCCCTCAATCGTTTTCGTGCCGCTCGCCCGGATCTCCTGCCACCTGCACTATCTAAGGACGCTCCTCTGCAAAGCACTGACCTCCCTGTTCGAACAGGTCTGGAAGGAAGTGACCCGGCTAACTGGATTGAACAGATTATAGTGGCACTATACTGTGCTAACCACGGGGTATTAGCCGGACCCCAGTTGTGACAAAATTACTGGCCTCGATTCCCGCTCATCGCCTCGTTTCGGAACGTGAATCCCGGATTAGGGATGAGCCGACAGGTTTCCGCCCAGGACGTGGCTGTATAGACCATACATTCACTTTGCGGTGGGTGCTAGATCAGTGCTACGCATGCAGCAGGCCGACAATAGCTGTGTTCCTTGATTTCAAGAGTGCGTTCGATTCAGTCGATCGATGCACTCTGTACGAAATACTTGCGTAGAAAGGTTTTCCCATGAAATATGTGAACATTTTACGTGCTCTGTACTCGAACACTACAGGCCGCGTCAGGGTCTACGGTGACCTGTCGGATAGCTCTCTGACAACAAGTGGCGTTCATCAGGGTTGTCCGATTTCCCCGTTTTTGTTCAGTTTCTTCCTGGACTCTATCATGGAGTGTTTCCTTGCGGAATCTCACGATGTAGGTGTTGCAGTGCTGCCTGGTGAAAGATTAGTTGATTTTTACTATGCGGACGATATCGTCTTGCTTTCTGACGAGGTTGGGTCAGCCCAGTCAACCCTGAATAGCCCCTCTAAAGTCCTCACATTATTTGGTATGTGTTTCGTAGCTTCAATGTGCAAAGTGTTGCTGTTGGACCACCAGCCACTTGATGACTCCTTGACCCTTGATAGCGATGAACTCGAAGTAGTTGATAAATTCACTTACATTGCCAGCTGCATCAGCAACTTCGGGCGCATAACCAGTTTACGTAGTACAAAATCCAGAACTGACTTCTTGAGTCTGCGACGTTCTTGACGTCAAAAAGGGGTTTCCTCTGTCTGAGAGGCCCTGTTTACAAGGCCACAGTGAGGGCCGAGCTACTGTATGAGAATGAGACTTGGCCCCTTTGATCTGAGGGTCTGAGGCGTCTTCAAGTATTTGATCATCGTTGTCTGCGTAACAGTGCTGCGGTTGGGTGGCACCAGCGTGTCCGCAGCGATGTGTTGCGTAGGCAAGTACTAGGCATTGATAAGCAAGCTAGTTCCTTAGAACAACAAACAGTACTGAATAAGTAGCGTTTGCTCGGGCACGTACTACGTATGCCCGTTCACTGCTTACCGAAGAAGGCCTTGTTTATTCTGCCAGATGTAGGGTGACGCAAGTCTTGAAGTGGAAAAATGTTGACTTGAAAGAAGGTAATGAAGTCACTGGCGACCAAACTGCGTGCCCTCGGTCCGTCTCGCCTTACGGGTTGGAGTCCCCGTGACTCGCATTGTGCTTGGCTCGAGGCTTTACAGGACATGGCTCGCAGCCGACATTAGTGGGGCGTCCGCTGTTGTCTCCTAGTCGGACTGCTTATTAAAAGTGCGTTTTGTGCTGAGTTATTTGCGGGGTAATGGCTGATTATGACGCGGGACAGTGAAAGCCACAAGAAAGCTGTCTCGCTGATGCCGCCTTATATTTGCACAATATCCAACTTTTTGTGACGGCTGCACTGAATGAGTTAACATGCAAAAACGCCTGTAGAAAGTGGAACATTATTACCAACGACTTTGGTATCCATAGCACGGTTTTGCAGTGTATTCGAAATGTGGCGCATTGCGCTTGATAGGAACTGTGCGCATGTAGAAGTTCAGTGGTCCACTGACCCCTGTTTGGGGGCTGCGCCGGTACCGCGCGGGCATCGTCTTATGCGACACGTGCTGAGATCTGCATTTGCTAGCGTGTCGTCCGTCATTTTGCCCGTCAGACGGAAGTATTCGTTACTCTACTGCCAAGTAGTATTTCCTCGATTGAATAAGTGATGGAGCAGTGGCTTGAGCCGGCGCGAAATCCACTATGGCAAGGAGCACATGCTGATGCGTAATGAGAGAAACGAGCACGTAAGAAGTACGCATGGTCGTGCCAGTGTACTCGAAAAACTGCCACTTTCCGCGCGCGCCTTCCCTTAAGGTTGGCGTAGTTTCCCGAAACCTCGGAGTCTGATGGCTACTGCTTTTTGCGACGGCATACGAGTGAACCGGATGCGAACTGGACTCTTGCCATCACCATTCGATACTAATCGTGCAC